TACATACATACATACATACATACATACATACATACATACATACATACATACATACATACATACATACATACATACATACATACATACATATGGTACATACTTAAATAGATAGAACTATCTCTTTAAGGGGTCTCTGTTGAACTCATGGACAAACTGGCCATTGACCTGAGGGATAAACTGCATCAGCCTGTTTAGGATCCTCAGTAGAGCTCAGCTCAAAGGGCATTTAATACTGACACATATCTGATTATCTACGTGCATCTTTTTCAGAGTATTATTGGCCGAACGCTTCAAGAGAACAAAGTCCCTTCTGAACTGAAACACCCCTGCAAGTCCACTGCATTTCTGAAAAACTATTTTGGGTTGTATGTGAATGCATTCTTTGTGTTGTGATAAGAGTAATTTAATACCACTTTCTAAATTAAGCTCACTCAGCCAAGAAAACACCAGAGGAGTGAATCACATGACAATTACCACAACCACTGGGATGAGCTGTGGGGTTTGCATATGAAAAAAATGAATAAGAAATGATACAACAACCTGATGAATTAGAATGTGATCTGTGGAAGTTATTGTATGAAGGAATGTGTAGGAAGTGAGGTTGGGCTGCGCTTCGTTCCTTGCTTTGTTTCCCAATTTCCTAAACTAACAAACCAAACACAAACACTAAAGAATGTAGACAAGCTTAATTTCTTTCCAGGTAGGACCTGACCATACTTTTTTTTGTTTTGACTCCCATGAATATATTTGATATATTTTTCAGTAGTCAATTTATACCAAAAAAATAAAATGTTCACATTTTACGTAAATGTACAGATTACAGAGTCTGCTCTCACTGTAACTCTAAATTTAAAAAGACAAATACATGAACGATGCTTTAAGATAGTGTTTTTGTTCAAATAAATACGCAAATCTGCAACATTAATTTTCAACTTATATTTTAAGATTCATACAATGAAAAAAACAAAAAACAAACTTCAACCATAAACAAATATTTAAAATGGATTAGTTAGTCTAATCAGGGTTTATATATATATTATATATTTATTTATTTAACCCATCAGTAAAGCCTTTTGCATATTGTGTAGTTTCTATCAATTTTGATTAGTATTTACACTCTAAAAATGAAATGTTGGATTTACTTAACCATGTTATGTTACCTGGTTCCACTTAACTGAGTTGAGTAAATTCAATGCAATATACCAGTTTTTTAGCCAAAGAACATGAGTATGTTGCTTTGAATTTACTCAACTCAGTTAAGTGGAACCAGGTAACATAACATGGTTAAGTAAATCCAACATTTCATTTTTTACAGTGTAGAATATTATGGTCGACATCAATTAATCTCTACAGGCTCTGTCACACTATAATGTTTTCCACAACTTATGCAAATGTATAACATTTTTTATGTCTACATTACTAATAAAAGTTGTATATTTGATCAATGATTTAGAATTACCATATATACAGTACATACCTAAAAGGGGCTTCCAGCTGAATTTCATAATACCATCTTCAACGTAGATGTCTGTAACATTTTCATAAATTGGCATACATTGTCTAAAACAATATAGTGTGGCAGGGCCTACATTGTAAAAACAGAAATGTGCAGCTGAAGGTGCAAAATCTATATGTTACCTTTTTCTTCTTTCATTTCAGGGCACTATCTTCTGTGATCAAACATTAAGGGACTGAGGTTCTCCCTGTAATAAAAGCAAAATTTGGTTAGACAGTTTGAAAGTTCTTATGTTCTTCAGTAAATCATGTCTCTGACCTTCATAAACAAATAAATAACTTTTAAATTAATTTTGCCATTCACCAATTCAGAAATAAAGCTCAACACTACGGATGAGCCACATGTAAGTATAATAAGAATAAGTCAAATCCTGTCAAAGCATCTTTCTTTGCCACTCCTTTTGAAGCCCGCGGCCGTCAATGTGCTCAATTTAAAACCAGAATAAATTTAGCTATTATGTCTGTGTTAATTACTTCTGTTGTGAAAATGAGTTCTGGCATTCCTCAAAGAAATGCATGTTGACTTCTGCCTTTTATGCCAGACCATCAAACAAAGATCATCTCATGCTGACAATGGAGTTACCATCGTTTGATCAACCTTGTAAATGGCTTTATGCTTCATCTCATGCGAGGTTGTGTGACCTCATGTTAACGCTCAGAGTATATTAAAGGGATGACTCTCAGCCACTACCACACCAAATTTGAGCTCAATACAATGTCACAAGGTAATTAGAATGGCTGACTGACAATGAAGATGTTAGGCACCAACCAGGAGAAAGGGATGCCCTTTACCACAGACATCCTGTAGTCTGACCACAAATGTGGACAGAAATGTCAGCAGACCAGTAAAATAGCTTTTTCACAGACTGCAGTGATTAAGAATGAGTCACAGCTGCCACAAAATGCAGTGGAAACACAGTGGTTCTGTCTGTCCCGTTTCATGGGAATTATGTTATTTAGCAGCTCGTTTGTTGCCTCCTAAGATTCCCAGGAAAGATGAGTACTTGGGGAGTGTCGACACAAAGAACACATTAAAAAGACAATTCAGTCAATAATACTCAACACAAATATTTGAGTTAACATAGGCTAAGGCAATGTTTTAATAAGACTTCTGTATTTCTGTATACTAAGAACACAAATATTTATTTAACATTACCTACAGAACTGTTTGTATGAGATGTGTTTGGATATCTTCTGAGAAAATGTCTTCACGTAGTTTTAAACAAATACAATAAAGTTCTTATACTACCACTGTGCAGATCATACTTTAACCTGAGACATTTTTTAACACCAAAAGCAAGAGGGATGTAACGATTCTGGCATATGTAAGATCGAGCGAACATTAGGGGGTGTAACAATACATCACTCCCTATCAATATTTCAATTAAATCTTCTAATAAATGATTAATGATTCAATTACATCAAAGCAAAACAAATACATTGATCTATATAGATAGAAAGTTTATTAATCCGTTCGTCCATCCATCCGTTTTCTTCTGCTTATCTGGGGTTGGGTCGTGAGGACAGCAGCCTAAGCAGAGAGACCCAGACTTCCCTCTCTCCAGCCACTTGGGCCAGCTCATCCAGGGGAATCCCAAGGCGTTCCCAGGCCAGCTGAGGAACATAGTCCCTCCAGTGTGTCCTGGATCTTCCTCTGGGTCTCCTCCCAGTGGGATGTGGCTGGAACACCTCACCAGGGACGCGTCCAGGAGGCATCCTAACCAGATGAACCAGCTCAACTGGCTCCTCTCGACATGGAGGAGCAGCGGCTCTACTCTGAGTCCCTCCTGGATGACCGAGCTTCTCACCCTATCCCTAAGGGAGAGCCCAGACACCCTGCGAAGGAAACTCAGAAGAAGAGAAGGCACCCTACCATTTTCCGGCTCAAGACCATGGTCTCGGATTTGGAGGCACTGATCTTCATCCCGGCCGCTTCACACTCGGCTGCGAACTGCTCCAGTGAGAGCTGGAGATCACGCTCTGATGAGGTCAATAGGACCACATCATCTCCAAAAAGCAGAGATGTGATCCTAAGGTCACCACCCCTTTTCCATGGTGTAGTGTCAGAACGGTCGGTGTCGGTACGGGTCGGTACCGGTCGGACCAGTTGGTTTTCCACTGATGTTCCAGTCTGGTTCCAATGGGTGTGTTTTGGGCAGTTGGTGGAGGTGGTTTTTAGGTTTTTGAAAAAAAGTTAATGGGCAAAATGAGAGATGGAAACACATTTGATGAATAACTTGAAATTTTAAAAATTTGCAAAAATTTCTAATTCAAATTGGATGGAATCACGACTAATGTCACTGCTACAATTGAAAAAAAAATGGCTCCTTGAGTTGTTCTTGTAAAGGCAGTTTAGATGCAACCAGTAACTCCACCTCCTAGCCAATCAGTGACAAACAGTGTTCTGACGTCGCATTTTGGTGTCAGCTGGAGCTGCTTGGAACCACAATGAAGTAGGTACTAAAAAAGGGCCGGTTCCGTGAATCTGGCCTAATGGAAATGGCTTGGAACCATACCGACACTACACTAAGTGGCACTAGTGGGAAAGGGGCATATGTTTACATTATGCCAGATATTTTGAACTACTGGAAACAACATTGTCTGTTAGCACATCTCATGAACCACTGGGGAGGCGTAAATGAATCTCTCAAAGTAATCACTGGACGTACATCTACAGTTGATTGTCTTTTAGAGCCAACCCAATTCATGATGGCCACCATAACTCATCAAATTTAGCAAAATTAAAAATGGCAATAACTCAGGTAATTTTACAGATTTTTAGTTACAATTTTGCAGTATAAGCTGAGAGTCATTCAATTAAGACATTTCCAACTCTGACCAAAATCACTAAAAACTCTTTCGCTTTTTGCCATGAAGTGACCTTAGCATAAATTCTGGTATGAAAAATGATGAGTGAACGGCCTTCCTTCAAAGAATACCAGGTCTTTAATTTTGAAAACATTTCATATGGGCAAAATTCTGGTAAAAAAAAAAACAAAAAACATTGGATAGGTTATAAATGATGATCTTCAATGAACAACCTTCTTTACTAAAACCTTTCTAATGTACAAGCAGAGCCATCTCCCAACCCCAGATGTAATATATAAAATAAATCTCATGGGATTTTTTTCATGTTAGACATCCACATCTAGAGCATTTATAATCCCTGACTTTAATCCAGCCACAGCATTTAATCTGGTTTCCACCAATGACAGTTTGGCCAAAAAATAAAAATAAATACCTTAAATGCACCCTTTATCCTTCTTTAAAGCATGTGAAAAGGCATTATAATGCACCGAAAAGTGTGTAAATGAAATCTAGATAAGTATAGAATATTAGTGTTTTGCAGCATGTTCTGGAGAATTATTAGTCTTACTTGTATTTATTACTTAACATCCCAAGCTTTTAACTCAAAGCATTGCCGAATCCATCATCTAAAAAAACCATAAAGTGTATGACTTCTGCAAACCAAAGCGGAAAGAAACAAATTTAATTTATCCATGTTACTATAAATGGATAATAATTTTGTGTATTCTGTACTTTAAGTAATAATCCAATCTGTATTTTTACTTGAATATGTTTTGTTTTAAGCATTTTACTTGGTTCCATTAATCTTGTCTGATACAAAGTTAAAAGTGGGAATGCAAATATGTAAATTTAAGTCGGTAGGGAAGATAAAAGGGACACTTGTAAGCACCTGGGTCCAAGTCAGCAGGTGTATGAAAAGGGGCTAAAGTGACAATGAGCCATGAACAAAGGGTTTGATATAAATAAAGCTAAAGAAATTGTGTATGACTCTGTCCACTAAGTGTGCAACTTTGCTAGAATAAAGGAAAACTCAGCAGATATGCACTTGTCAGAGCATCATCTGTTAAGTGGCGAACAGCTACACCTCCACCCTGACTTCTGCTGAATCAAAAATAATGAAATAAAGTCATGCCCATGTATAGGAGACACTTGGGCTCCAAATTTAAGGAAGGAAGCTGTTTCATTCTGTCATTAGCTGTATTAGCTCTGAGAGACTTACAGTAGATCTGAGAGCCTGGAAATAAACAGTACTGAGGAAAAAATTTAAATGACTTCTTTATTTGCTAACTGTTATTATTGTCTCTATGACAGAAGACCAATTTCATTCATACATGAACTGATAAATTTTAAGTTATGTTGATAAACTATGTCCCAGTATAAATAACAATTAAAGGCTTTCCATTTCTTGGAAGGATGAACATCACCCACTGCCTTTCATGCTAGAGATTTAAACTACAATCATCATTGTGATGAAAAAAGACCATTATAGTTATTATGGTCAAATTTGGTAAATGTTTTTGCAAAATCTCATGCAATAGTGTGAGAGCATATGAAATGTGTTAGCACTTGGTATGTTTTGGGGATGAGTCTTGGCTTCTACCAGACCAAATTTCAGCTTAGAATTACTTGGATTACAGCCTTTTATGTGATGCCATTAAGGCTGACTGGCTGTGGCAAACATAATAAATTGGATTAACTCCAAAAACTAATCAATTGTAGGTGTGAATTCATTGCCACTTTGACAATTTAAATGAAATCTGTCAAGTGGTTTGTGAGATATTTTGCTAACAAACAAACAGGGCTTACACTAAAGGCGATTGCCAAAAATTTAAGCAAACTGAGAACAAGTATATTCTACTACCACAACAAATTTGAAAAATTGATTGATTTATAGGCATTTTTGTGTCGACTAATATTGATTAGCTTTGTTGGCCAACTGAACTAGGGTGACTCCAAGAGTTAATCAATTGTAGATACAGCCAGTTTCTACTTTGTGAGAGTTTTATTAAAGTCATTCTGATAGTTTATTAGATATATTGTTAATTGGCTGACTTCAACATTCAATACCAAAATTTTACTCAAAAACATTGTGTAATGAGAAGTACTTGGAGTATGTGTGGATGATGTTCAACTAATACCAAACTAAAATACATAAAACTAAGGTGGAACCATTTTTGGTTAACTGGTTATAAAGACAATCTTGGACTGTGGTAACCCTAAAGTTTAATCAGTTGTAGACATTTAACCACACACCTTCATTTGGGTCATCAAGTCATGCAAAAATCCTAAAAAAAATCTTATGGACATAATGACTTTCTATAATGAGAATGACAAGAAATCTAATTGAGTGTTAAAACAAGAGTTGCTGCATAAAGATGCA